TGGGTGGCAAAGCGATCTGGACCATTATCACTTTATCTCCTTTCGGGATCAGCGCAAACCCAAAGTCAAAATTAAATTCTCAAACAGTGACCTCTCTCTATCTCCAGCATCCAAAGCAAGTCAGTATCATTCTGCATTTGCGCCTTTTGAGGAGCTGTGTGATCTCTTGTCCTGTGCGTCTACTTTTCACCCCTCTCTTTTTTTATATGAATGGTGATATAAAGGCTGATGTAAAGACGTAAATTTTCAACCACCAAGACACCAACAACAAAACAGCACATTAAATTAACAAGGCAGAAGAGAAGCAGAAGAAGAAGAATATCTGAACATGGATGTTCGTTTTAGAAGATCCACCAGAGAGACCAGCCCAGACAGAGCCAAAGCTTGCAGCATGCCGATGCAGATGCAGCCAAGACTCAACAACAAACCCATCAAAAAACACCAAGTCGTCTACTATCTTTCAAGAAACGGCCATCTTGAGCATCCCCATTACATGGAAATCACCCATTTGGCCAACCGGCCACTTCGTTTGAGAGGTAAGCCCAAATTCTCTGCTACAAAACAAAACTTCTTGTTTTCTTTTTCTTCATTGTTAATCTTTTTTTCTTCTTCGTGTTCTTCTTCTTCTTCTTTGTTTCATGTACAATTAGATGTAATGGATCGGCTCACGGCTCTTAGAGGCAAAGGCATGCCCTCGCTATATTCTTGGTCTTGCAAAAGGTTCTATTTTGTTATTTTTGTACTTTTTTTCCTTCAAATTTTATTTCTTATTGAGCTAATTATCTTTGTTAAGCTCATTATTATTATTATTATTATTTTAGGAGCTACAAGAATGGTTACGTGTGGAACGATTTAGCTGAAAACGATACAATCTATCCAGCAGAAGGAGCTGAATATGTACTCAAAGGATCAGAACTATTTGAAGGCTGCTCTGCAGGTGCTCTGTCTCAACATGAATTAATCTCCATTACCAAGTGTCATTATTGATAATAAGAAAATTTAATTAAATTTTTTTCATTATTTTATGCAGAAAGATTAGATCAGCTTCAGTTAAGCAGCAGCCAACAGATACAAGACACAAATTTTGAGTCCAAGAGAAGATCACCACTTGCTCCAACCCGAAACAGAAGAGAACACGATCATCAACAAGCAGAGAATAAGTACCTCATCACCAAGTATCCTCATCAAGATCATGATCCAGACCAAGACTACGATGAACAAGAAGAAGAAGAAGACTACGAGGATGAGAAGACAAGCTACACCAGCTCCACCACACCCCACTCTCGCTGCTCCAGAGGGGTTTCCACCACAGACGAACTCGAAGAGCCTCCACAAACCCGCAAAACCCCAACTGAGTCAACTCACCCCGAGCCATCTCCTCCTCCAAACCCATCAATTATATTATCAAATCAACCCAACCAAACCACCAGTCTCTCGGCAAGGTTCGAGGACGGCGACCCAGTTGCTGTTTCCACCTCCAAGTCTTCAGCACAGAGCAGGAACTCTGTTCTGCTTCAGCTCATAGCATGTGGAAGCTCTGCTGTGGCCAAAGCGAAGAACGCGCCTTGTGTGAAGCAGCACACAGTTTATAATACACCATTTGAGAAGAAGAGCAGCGAGAGCTTTCGAAAAGAGGTTGTGTACAAGGCTGCTGTGAAGGTGGCGGCTGAAGAGGACATGATCAATTACATGTCTGAGAATCCAAGGTTTGGGAATTTGCAGGCGGAGGAGAAAGAGTATTTTAGTGGGAGTATTGTTGAGAGTATCAAGGAAGATCGAATTTCAGCGGAGCGTGCACTCAAAAGATCGAATTCTTACAATGAAGAAAGGTCAGTGAGCATGCATTCATAATTTGCGTCAATTAATTAAGCCATGTCTCTGCCGAGTATTAATTTGCATGTTCTGCATGAATTTAAGTTTTGAGTAACTTTAGGTGTTTGATTAATTTGGTTCAGGATCACTAAGGCTGGGTTAGGGACCGAAACAGTAGAGGAAGAGAAGAGAGAGAAGGCAGGTGTGAAAGGAAAATGCATTCCTCGTAAACTATCTTCTGCTGTATCAAAACAAACCAGGAAATGATTGTTAGCTTGGGTTCCCATAATTATGAAGAATTGTGGTCACTAAAAGCTATGGGGAAAGGTAAAAGCTGTGGGGAAAGGTTTTCTTTTGGATCCTTGAATTAATCTGAAAGCAGTGGCTAGTGTGACTGTGATTCCTTGACACTCCGCATGTTGCAGCAATCATAATTCCCTTCCTACTATGGATTGTACTGTATAATGCTTTCATGAGGTGTTGATTTGGTACCTTCATAGAATCATAAGCAAGGCAAACGTTGACATCATGAATTGCTTATAACATGCAATCATTTTCTGTTGGTTGGTGGGGTGTGGAATTGGAGGGAGCACCCGAAGTAGAGCCAGCCTCGACTTTTGAGTGGTTTGTGACCAGAAATTGAAATGCGGTCACTTTCCCTTTGTGTATAATCACAATTTAAGAAAAATAAAATAAAATTCTATACATATAATAAACCAAGGGCATGCGTACTAATTTGTAATCGGAATCAAAATGAAGAGTTGAATTCCAATTATGAATTACTCTTGTATTTACATTATTGAAAATGAAAGTGGGTTGTAAACATTGGTATGTCAGACGCGATGTTATTAATTTTGGTGTAATATCAAGACCTTTGTGATGAGGGACCATCCAAAGAGTCACGGGTGAAATAAAAACTGGGGCACAATATTTCAATAACAATAGAGCTTTTCTATTTAAACCTCACACTTTTCTTTATTCATCCAAATACTTAAATCATTAATCTCTTAAGTTTTATTATTGTGTAAAATGATAAAAAAGGTCATCCAACTTAATACTTAACTATAAACCCTACACACACCCCACCATTATTCATATTAAGTTTTAGAAAAACACAAACTTCTCTACACCCTATTGCCAGATTACTCATCTCTTTCAATCCAAAAAACATATTACACTCTCATCTTCTCTTCACAAACCCTAAATGCGGTATGCAAATAGTGGCTTGTGGGTCGTCAATTGAGGTATGTAATGTGAAAAGTTGCCATCAGGAAGACCACTTGCTGATTTCCCCAAGCAAACTTCTGAATTTTGTGCAAGAATTTGAGCAGGGCTTCTTGTTTGTACCATATCTGACCCCCCACTCACGTCATGGCACATAGAGCATAAATAAGGCAGGGACCAGCTCAGTGGGCCATGCCGAAAGGTCGATCGGCATACTCCATTGTTTCATACTTGGTCGGCAAGTTGGAAAAGCACCTACAACTGGCACCCTCACCAACCTTCGGCACACAATACCGAGCGACCAGTCAGCACATTCGGCCGATTCCGACAAATAAACCTCGGAACTCTCGCCAAAACCTGCCAGGGCACCTGTCGATCGCCGAAGACACTCCCACGAGTCCCACATCGAAACTAAAACGTGTCGATCGCCGAAGACACTCCCACAAGTCTCACATTGAAACTAAGTACTAAGAGCATCACAAATGCTCTCTATAAATAGAGCCCCCTGGCCCAGCCAAGAGGTAAGACATTTTCGACTTGACTTGTGCTTTCACTTTGTCAAAAAAATTGCTCTTAGTCACTAACTTTGGCATCGGAGGGTCTTCGACCGGCACCAAACCGGTGTCCCAGACCTCACCTGCTGTTTCTTTCTCTAGGCCGAATCCAGCACTACGCCCTAAGAAAGGACGCAACAGCTTGAAGGCTCCTCGGGTCCAAACCCCCATTCCACTTGTAAGTTAGCTCTATTTCTATCTGTTTAGTTTTAACGCGAACAGATTGACGCCGTATGTGGGAAGTTCGATTGATAATCAGCCCATATCTTCTTTTCCACCTCACTATGGACCCATCTTCGCCCTTCACGACCGATGGTCTTATCCTCAGCCTCGCCAGCAGAGCAAACCTCGCTGCATCGCCCAGCACACCCCGAGTGGAAACGCCAGCTGGCAGAACACCTTAGAGGATAGGATGGAAGCCCTGCAGAGGGAAATGGCGAAGATGCAGGAACATAACAACATCCTTTCGTCCAAACTGGACGACACCCAGAAACAGCTTCACGAGCAGCAATCGCACTCGGCCCAACTGCAGGAAGACCCTGCAGCTTCGGCAGGAGCAATCACTCAAAAGCATATCGAAGCCTAGCGGTCAGGAGAGAAGAAAATAACTGGCTGTAGGCGGACTGCCAGTCTCCCGAAGGTTGTTCGTGCCCTCTCTAGAGGAACGCCACCGGGAATATCGAGTCTACTCATACTTCCATGACAGACTCAATGCTCGGCGTAGGGAATGGCAGACTTCCCCAATTCCGGTCCAAGCGAAATTCAACGATCGGCACCTGGATGTACTCGGACCAAAATCTCCTCTTTGCTGAAGGTACGACGTGATCGATCTAGAAGAAACAGACGAATTCCATTACGACAATCTCATGCTGGTTGACAACATCAGGATCATCTAGACTAGAACACTGATCAACCAAGGAGAACGACTGGTAAAAAAAAGGACCCATCAGAAGCTCCAACAGAGCAGAAGGCTGCGAAACACAAAGGCACGACGTTCGCCTTCCAACCGGCCCCCAAACGTCAGAACCTTTCTGCAACGACCTCCCTTCGACCGATCCCACTGTTCGCCTCCTCCTTCAGAAAGTCAATCGGATCGAGGAAGAATAAAACCAGATTCGAACACCAACCTGGGAAAAGGTACAACCGGGGCCGTTCACTAGCCAAATTCGAATCTACCAACATAAAAAGGAGGTCCAGGCACTCCACATATCATTCTACGTGGCAGTAGAAGATCCTGTGACACACATTCACACCTTCCAATCGACCCTAGGTTGCAAAGGGCTTACCGATGAAGGCTAGTGTCTACTATTCCCATCCACCTTGGCCGGAACGACCCTGAATTGGTTCTATCGACTGGAGCCAGGTACGGTAGACTCTTTCGATCAATTTAAAAAAACTTTACTAAATCATTTTATGATACAGACCGATTGCCTTTACTCTGCTGACGACCTTTACAAGATTCGGCAATGAAATGACGAGCCTCTTCGGGAGTACGCATCCAGATTCAGCCATGAAAACTCTCAGGGCTCGTTTGGTACGTCGGACTGTACTGACTAATTTCCGTCGGATAGTATTAATTTGTTCCGGAGAGTACTGACTATTTATCCATAATATTATAAGGCGTTTGGTGCTGTTCCGGATAAATAGTCTGACTAAGTTATACTGTGTTTGGTGATGTTCCGGATAACATCAGATCCAACTATTTTTAAAATAAAAACAATTCTTTGATAATTTTAATGGAAATTGAGATTCAAATGACACGAATTTTTTTTGGGTAAGATTCATATGACAAGATTTGTTTTTCAATTGTTTTTGCCAAGATTTTTTTTC